CTCTTATGGACGATCACCATACTCACGTAGGTTATCTGACTTCTCGACCTCAGATTTCAGTCTCTCTCTAGATGCGGCACACCCCAGTTATCGGATTGAAAAGCTTGCCTTTAAGGAGCAAGCTAGTTCCTTCTGGCGCCTGGCAAAAATGAATTCTCCAGAATGGGTTTATGCTTTAGTTGGTTCTATAGGCTCTATCATCTGTGGCTCCCTTAGTGCCTTCTTTGCATATGTTCTTAGTGCTGTCCTAAGTGTGTACTACAATCCTGACCATGCATACATGATCAGACAAATTGAGAAATACTGCTATTTGTTAATTGGGCTATCGTCAGCTGCCCTTCTCTTCAACACATTGCAGCACTTCTTCTGGGATATTGTGGGTGAGAATCTCACAAAGAGGGTGAGGGAAAAAATGCTAATGGCTGTGCTTAAAAATGAAATGGCATGGTTTGATCAGGACGAAAATGAGAGTGCTAGAATTGCAGCGAGGCTGGCCCTTGATGCGAACAATGTTAGATCAGCCATTGGAGACCGTATTTCAGTGATTGTGCAAAACACAGCTCTAATGCTAGTAGCCTGTACTGCAGGTTTTGTTTTGCAATGGCGCCTTGCCCTAGTCCTCATAGCTGTCTTCCCTGTGGTTGTTGCTGCCACTGTTTTACAGGTTTGCTTTTCTAACAATCATTTCTCATGCATGCATGACGATTTTTTTAAGATAAATTGGCTCCTGCTCAACATCAGATATATTCCTACATTATTTTTCCAAGTTACTGACCTTCTCTCCAGATAAATTTTGATCTAATAAAAAATAGTCAAAGGTTCAGAAAATCTTGTTGCCACCCTCACTTTTGAGTACATGTGAAACCATTTAACAGAAAAGTCCATGAACTAACTTTTGTTGTTGAACTACCAACAGAAAATGTTCATGCAAGGTTTCTCCGGAGATCTTGAGGGTGCCCATGCCAAGGCCACGCAAATAGCTGGGGAGGCAATAGCCAATGTAAGGACTGTTGCTGCCTTCAATTCAGAGGCAAAGATAGTTGGTTTTTTTTCCACCAACCTTGAAACTCCACTAAGGCACTGCTTTTGGAAGGGACAGATTGCTGGAAGTGGATATGGGGTTGCACAGTTTGCGCTTTATGCTTCCTACGCTCTTGGTCTCTGGTATGCCTCCTGGCTTGTGAAGCATGGCATCTCTGATTTTTCCAAGACAATTCGAGTTTTCATGGTTCTCATGGTTTCGGCCAATGGTGCGGCTGAGACACTGACCTTGGCTCCTGACTTCATAAAGGGTGGTCGAGCTATGCGGTCAGTCTTTGATCTTCTTGACCGCAAAACTGAAATTGAGCCTGATGATACTGACACAATCCCAGTTCCTGACCGACTTCGTGGGGAGGTTGAATTGAAGCACGTTGACTTCTCTTATCCTTCACGCCCTGATGTCCCCATTTTCCGTGATCTTAGTCTACGTGCACGAGCTGGCAAAACTCTTGCCCTTGTGGGTCCAAGTGGTTGTGGTAAGAGCTCAGTCATTGCCCTTGTGGAGCGCTTCTATGAACCATCATCTGGTAGGGTATTGATTGATGGGAAAGACATTCGAAAATACAATCTAAAGTCCCTGCGAAGGCATATTGCAATTGTTCCACAAGAGCCATGTCTGTTTGCTACTACCATCTATGAAAACATTGCTTATGGGCATGAATCAGCAACTGAGGCTGAGATTGTTGAAGCCGCTACACTTGCCAATGCACACAAGTTCATATCTTCCTTGCCTGATGGTTATAAAACCTTTGTTGGTGAAAGAGGGGTTCAACTTTCTGGAGGACAAAAACAGAGAATTGCTATTGCGCGAGCTTTGGTGAGAAAAGCAGATATCATGCTGCTTGATGAGGCAACAAGTGCATTAGATACTGAGTCAGAGAGATCGGTCCAGGAGGCTCTGGACCGAGCTTGCTCAGGGAAGACCACCATTGTGGTTGCTCACCGCTTATCAACTATTAGAAATGCCCATGTGATTGCAGTGATTGATGATGGGAAAGTTGCAGAGCAAGGATCACACTCACATTTGTTGAAAAACTATCCAGATGGGTGCTATGCCCGGATGATACAATTGCAGAGATTCACACATAGCCAGGTTGTTGGAATGACATCAGGTTCGAGCTCGTCAGGAAGACCTAAAGAGGATGATAGAGACAATTAGGGAGATCAAAGAAACATAACACTACAAGAGGAGTATATCCTGGTATACATCCCTTATGATTTTTTGTGTCTTTAATTTGCACTGTTAAATGTTTTTGGTATAGAATAGTATGTGTATTAAGGAATTTTTTTCTTTTTTTTTTCAATGATATATGGATGTTATCTCTATGAATATTTCTAAGAAAATGATAATGAGAAAATAGTTCATTGATAATGAAAATGGTCGATTCTTTTTCCCTTGTGTATTGATTCTACACTTTTTACTTTATGAAAATCAGGATAAAATTGTTGAGACAATAAATTTCCAATATGCACACAATTATACAAAATAAAAAATGAAATAAAAAAAGACGTAAAATTTAATATGATTCGATAAATATTTTTATATTTATAAATTTTATTTTTTATTATAATAAAAATTAAGAGTAATAACTAATAGAATATTAAACTTTTATATAAATAAAGCATTAGAGTTTTTTTTCTTGATATTTTCAGAATATATATATATATATAAGATATTGATAAAGATGTACACAAAATATTTGTAAACAATAATATAATATTTTTAAAATACACACAAAATATACATATAATATTTTTCATAATAAAGCTATGTCACCAAAAAAATATTAATATTGTAGCAAAAGAAGAAAGTCCATGAACATTAACTCTGAATTTTGTCAAGAAAAACAAAATTGGTTAAGTTAAGTGGATACATCATCAAATCAAATCAAATCAAATCAAATCAAATCAAATAATGTAAAACTCGAAGAAGACAGTCCAAAATTATTAAGTGAGGTTGAGGTGGTGGTTGTTGGTTGGACGTGTATAACAAGCTCTGTTTAAAGAGTCAGGGTTGAAACTGGAGAAAGAAACAAAAGTATGAAAAGAGCAGAGGCTGAAAATCGATGGAAAAGTAGATGGGTAGGGAACAAGCGTGAGTAAGGAAAAGAGAGAGAAAGATGATGATGAATTTGTGAGTGGGACAGACATCTCACCTCATCTGTTTGTTGGTAAAAGAAATGTAAGGATGACAATCAAGTAGCTACAAAGATTCACAGCACTTAAATCATGTTAAATGGAGGATGAAGCAATCGAGTAGTGACTACAGAAAGAATACAATCATCATTATATCTCTCTTGAGGAGACCGTACTACGACATGCCTCGAGTTCCTCCAATACAGTAGTTAATTAGGTATTTGGTAACTGAGAAAGAACAAAGTTTGATATCGAATTCATTCCGATTCATAGTTTGATTTTGCTTAACATTCTCACACTTCAATTCCGACTCTGTCAGTTCTCGGCTTGTAATATAACTTTTCTATGTGTAAATTAAAGGATTTAGAGGTTTATATGAGTTACCCAGTTGGAGTTTTTGGTTAACTTTTTCTTTCATATGCATTTTGTCTGTTTCAACATGATTTCTTTATTGATTTTATTTGAAAAAAAAAAAGTTATGATCCAATTCAAATTTAGCATGAGAATGTTTACCATTTAGGTTGTGCAAATTTTATTTTATTGGAGGGTGGACCAGGTCAAGGATCCCTCATGAGCGGCATTTTTCTTTTGAAAAAATAATTTTAAAATTCAAAATAATATGTAAAATTACAATATTAATTTATTACTAACTAAATTAATTCGCTAATCATTAATTGTTATTTAATTAAATTATTAGTAAGTTATTTTGTCTATAAGAAATTTATAAGGTTTGAGTCAGTCTATATTTTATATATAAATACTGAATAAATAATCAGTCTATATTAAAATAAAATATATAATTCAAAAAAATTTCACAAGCAAAATAAATTAAAATGAATGAGACTAGCATTTAAAATGGTGTGATCTTCAAATGATCTCTATCTATTACTTTAGCCATTCATAGTTTAATATTGAAAAGCAATAAATATATTAGCTTTTAAATATCTTAGATAGAATAAAGTTTATATTTTTTCAACAACTTAGTGAACGTGAAAACCTAAAATTAATAAATAATAATTAATAGATATTTATTTATTTATTTAACTTACTAAAATTAACATAATTTAAATTCAAATAAGTTATTAATGTTTAACTCATCAATTACTACTTAGTTAAATGGTTAGTACGTTCTTTTATTTATAAGAAGTCGGGTGTAAAAAGCCCAAAATTCCTATAAAGGATTTCAAATGTTTTAGTCCAATCATAATAATAATAATGACGTTGAATTTTTTTATTTAGCGAAAAAATTAACGGTTCGAATATTACATTTATTGTACATTTACTTAAATATCTTAAATAGGGGTTACGAGAATGCTTTGAAACTTGAAACCAGAGAAACCACTAACAAGTAAATATTATTGACCTCTATTCGAAATTGACAAAGTAGAAAAAAGTACTTGCTTAGCTGGTCTCTTACTGTTCAGAATCTACATATTGGTTGTCCTAATCTAAAATAATTAATAAGAAATGGTGAGCTGTACTAACTCAGTAAGAATATCAAAGTTTTACCACTGACACGGAAAATAAAAAGATTG